TAACATTAAAGATGAATTGGCTCTGGCGGCGGGAAAAGTCACACCAGGAGTGGACGACACGCCATACATTCAATATGCTCTACAGGCTCTGATAGGCGGTCAGAGCACTTCATTCCCGTCACACCTCGTCTCTCACTCTTCTGACGGATATTCCGATCGCTATGAGCCGTTTCGTGGCTTTGACGAATCCGCAGCTTATTCTTCGCCAACTCATCAAGATGGCCTCGCGAGGGACAACAACTATGACGACGCTCAACCGCCTCCCCCCAAAGGTCCTCCCACCCCTGGGCAGATTCCGCGGCGCAGCACAGCTTCATTCGACCCGACAGGAGCAAGTTCATCACAATGGGTTCCCGTTTCCAAGAAGATGCAAAAAGACTTCAGCCCCTCAACTTCAAACCGTGGATTCTACGAGCAGTCCCGATGACAATCTTGGCTATACTAATCCTACTTATGATGGCAGCCCTCATATTCTCAGCCAGATACTCGTATGCGCATTCTGGCTTGACGCCATACCCAGGAAGCATATACTCGGGCCAATACTTTTTATTCCGCATACTGCCACAGTTGTTAGCAGCTGTCATCTTTATTTACGCACAAAGCATTGTAAAGGCTTCCTTACGAATTCTACCTTTCACGGCGATGGCCAGCGAGGATCCACGGGCGAGATATTTGGCACCATTCCAGAGGCTCTACCCTGCCTCATTTTTGCTGCCCCAGTTCACCGGGCCGTGGCAGTTCAAGATTTTCGACGTTGCGACGTGGTTGACCATATTCACAATACCTTTACAGAGCTCCGCTTTTACGTGCATCTTCGTCCATGACAAGTGGGTTTGGGCGCCCGTCCAGCCCGTGGTATGGGCCCTCGTAGGGCTATATGGAATTCTGCTGCTGGCAACAGTCATTCTGATGATGTACTGGTTCGTACAATGGACAGGTCTTGCTTGGGACATTCGATCAATCGGAGACCTTTTGCCCCTGTTGAACCGCAGCAACATCATGCCCAGTTACCGACGCAGCGATCTTGCCGAGGATGCCAAGCTATTTAAGAGCCAGCTGCGCGAGAGATGGTTTGATCGACTGGGTTACTGGAAAGCCGAAGATGCGACCGCGGGAGGTATTTGGTACACAATTGGGGCGCCGCCCGACCAAGACTCTGGAATTGCTCCGGGTTCGATGGGTAAACGAGTTAGCAACGACACATCAATCGACCTGAAAGAGGCGGCGCCGGGGTTTTCCATGGAGAACGCTCGTGGCAAATATCTGCCCCTGCCTCTCCGTGATGGTCCGCTTCTCGCTTCCGTCGCCGTCAGTTTCTTTCTGCTGGCGGCTCTGATCGTAGTTTCTTTCCTGCCACAGACACGACTCGAAGATGGCTTTTTGCCGGGGTTGAATGCAAGGCCTGACCACAATGCCTTTTCCCCCGCCAACTTTGTCTTCAGCTTCGTGCCGGCCATGGCTGGCATGATTCTCTTTTTGCACTTCCAGGTCTTTGATCAATCGCTTCGCATTCTACAACCGTGGGCCGACTTACACGACGTAAATGGGTCTCCAGCTCAGAGGTCTCTGCTGGCGGATTACGCAGCCTGTCTTCCCCTGCAGGTGACATGGAGGGCACTCAGAAACGGGCACTGGAGAGTGGCAGTCACATCACTGCTGGCAACACTGTTTATTTTTATTCCGGTTCTAGGGGGCGGGCTGCTGATGGCTTTGACGGGCCCCAACAGGACGGTGCGAATGTATCCCAGCATGCCAGTCTTTGGCGTCCTGCTAGCATTCCTGGTCCTCTATGTAGGCGGACTTTGCTTGATGGTGCCCCGCCGACGCCAATTCCTACTCCCTCGATCCGTTACCTCAATCGCCGGCATTATCAGCCTCTGCTCTGCTGAGGAGCTCACACAAGACGCCGCGTTTCGGTCCGTTCGAGGACGAAGAGATCTTGAAAACCGACTTGGCGTCGGACGCGACGACTCCCGGGACGAGAGCTCGTGGTTCTTTGGCATTGTGCTAGGAAAGGACCGGCAACTGGCGAGTGTCAGGCGTATGAACAATCTTACGGAAAAGTTGCCAGTTTCTTCCAATGCCATGGCTTGATGATTTGCTTTCTTTTTTTTTTTCCTTTCCTTTTTCTTTCACTTTGCCTTCTGCTTTTTTTCGCTGAAAGAACAGACAAAAAAGCGTGGCGTTTTGGGAACGATGCTATGGCTTAAGCATGTGGATGGAGTTACAGAGCTCTCACAGTTTGACATTGACGATAGGTACGAGCGACGGGTAAACGGCAAGCGATGGTTTAATATGAATGACGAGTATATAACGTGGAATGTGGAATGCATGGTGGCTGCAGATAGTTGGACGACGACAAGATAATGTCAAAAAGATACCAGTTAGACGTGGCTGAAGACTCTTCATTTCATTGAGAAACATGTTTGAGATGTGAATGCTTTTTGGAGAGTGTACGGAGGAGATGCTAGTATGCACAGAAGCGGGCAAATAAATGGCCCAATTCCTGCGGAACACTATCTCAACTGTGTCATTTTTTGGAATGCTAGTGATGTTGTTCCTCGTGTCGTGAGACTAAACACATCGAAGGACGACAACTACGATTGAGTTTGGGAACAGATGCGTTGAACTTCATTATGGACTTCGATTCAGTAAGTCAATCCGACAACGCCCCCCTTTTGAAACCTAGTACTCCTATCCATGCTACCGTAGAACTCCCAACCCAATTGCCTACAGAAAGACAAGAAGAAGGGGGCGTAAAGTACAAGTGATAAAGCAAATGATAATGAGTGGCCATGGGTCCGCTTGCTTTGTGTGATGAATGAGTGTGATGAATGAGTGTTGATGCATGAAATGCGATGAATGAGTGTGATATGGATGCTGAGTCTGCGCTCGCTGTGATCCAAGATGCGAAAATAGAGAAAGACAACCTCCATGAAATAATAAGAAGAGGAGTAGTAGGTAATTAATGAAATGAGAAAAAAATATCAACGACTCCGCCGTCCAAGCATCCTGCTTAAGACCAAATCAGCCTGCTTCGCCACCAGCGGCGGCAAGCTATCCATGGTATTCGTCCTCTTGCGCCTCCTCCTCCGGTCCTTTGCCGCAGTA